TAATGCTGGCTCTGCATACAATAGCTGAAACAGACCTCGGGGAACAGGGCTGGTGAATTATTTGCTGCACGCCTTTGAGAAAAGGTCTCTCATTTCTTAATAAACAGGTGATATTTAAGCAGAAGACTGCTGCATGTAGCTCAGCAATCTGCCAACAGGGTGGCTGAAAAAATCAACTGTTCTCCCATTTGGAGTTATTTGCATTTATTCCCATCAGACTGCGAAAGGGACCGAACACAGTTGCAACACGGGTACAGGTCATTACTTAGACGTCAGATCTTTCTCACCTTATATATCAGAGCTGAAAGAGAAGGATCCCTGCTACCCCCTCGCCCACCGGGGATCTTCGACAGTGGGTGAGGGGCATCAGGAGCACCACAGAGGCCCTGGAACAATGTGCCTGCAGCACTGCAGCTGGGGACAGTTACTCAAAGGTAAAATACTACTGCAAGAAAAAGAGAGAGAACACCAGGTTACATTAGCAGGGATGACATTTTGGATGCTACAGCTCCTCATGACCCCAAACTATGCGTATCCCTGCTCCTCCACAGCACGTCGGAGGCAGCTATCAGGGCTTCAGCGCCTAGACATCTACATTAAAAACACTCACTGCCCAAGTCGTATCAGAAACCGACGGTGTTTTGTTAGAAATGGAGGAGGGGCTTTGCAGCCAAGAACCCGGAGAGTGCTGAGCAACTTCATGCTAATAAGGGACGCCTGGAAGACTGCCAATAGCAGATGGCTGGAAACGCATGACCAGATGAGCACATATTTTCTATAGGCAAATATCTACAAATAGATCAACAGGACCCAGAAGGAGGAGGTTTAAGTTTCACATTTTCAAAACAGGGAGGAGTGAAAGGGCTGGTTCTTCAGATATTTTCAACATGTTCTACAACGTCCGAGTTGACATTTTCACATGCAAATGAAGCATCATAAAAGCATCCTTCACCCCAACCCTAAAAATTACAAGTTCACCTCACAGACCTACTTTTAAGAGCAAGAAAATAAGTTTTCCTTGCAGCTTTTAAGTTTATTTGGATGTCCTACACGTGGTATTTCAGGATCACTTTGGACGCAGGCTTTAATATCTGCCCTAGCTTTTAGGAACTTCATGAAAGCAAATTATTTTATTTCTGGAGCATTGCTCCCTTTATCAGTACCACAAAAGCTCTTTGCTGAGGCACAGCACAGCAGCGGTATTCCTCTAACAAAGCCTGCAAAAGCAACGCAGAGAAACCAGTTGTTCCCCAGCATTCCCATGATGAAACACACCAGCACAAAGCTATGCAAACACCACCAAAATAAAGGGGAGTGTGAGGGTTTTCAATAAGCACATGGAGTGAGGAACAAGGCTATAAGGGACAGACTCTGTGGATGCATTGACAACTTACTGTCTGTCCTAAAACTTCTCACTTGAGCTGTTCCCAAGACAGTGTTTTTCCACTCTAATCCCTCTCCATGAGGGAGACAGGCTTAAGTATCCAAAGACCACATACCAAAGTGCACTATCAGAATCACCTGAACCGCCAACACAGTATGCTAGAATGTATACCAGAGTGCAAACAAACTACTGAAATCTGGCATTTCTGAATGCCAAAAAATAACTCACAAACACAGTTATGACACAGGCAGAATTTGCTAAGATCTTGGCTTGCCATCTCATACCAAAATAATCTTTCTACAGGAAACACAAATATTCTTCCTCCACATATTTCCTCCTCCTCCAGGTTCGCGAGACTGGGCTCTTCAGCAGCGTTCCCATGTGCCAGGGCCCACAGCAGAGACTGCTTGGAGAAAAGGCCGTTTAAACACACTAGGAAAAGACATTAAGCAGTTGCACTGAAGATGCCTCAGGGCAAACCCCTTTGCACACATGCTCAGTGGCGTTCTGTGTTAATACGGTCCCTCCTCACGGCATGACTGGGGCTATCAATGGACCAGTGTGTATTCAGTAGTAGTGGATGTCGAGAGGCATGACAAAGCACTTTGCTGCGCCGTTCCCCACCCCCAGAAAGCTGTTGGCAGCTTTGTTATTCCCTTCCCTCCTCCCTCACCCCCCAGTCAACAATGTACTATTGATAGAGGGGGGGGGGGGGGGGGGGGGGAAGAGAGAGAGGCAGTAGAGTTCATGCAAAGCAGTTCAAGACACTTCCCAGTTTTGCTTCCTCTGGCACATGCAGAAGTCAAAACACAAGACCCCTTGAGCCGCTGAGCTCTGCCTGCGGCACAGGGGCTTTGCCTAGCCTAGACCTGCACGTCACTGCTATCCTCCCCCAAAACTTCGCAGCAGCAGCCAGCTAGAGTCCCAAGAGCAGCATACGCAGGGCAGTGCCATCAGGCAACGCTGCGAGCCAGCATGTGCGGGGGGGGGGGGCACAGATTAACAGGGTTTTGCTTCCCCCAGATGTGTGTTAGCACCCTGCGAATAAGCTCATGCAAGCACCCAACAAAGTCCTACCCCTTGATGCATCTGCGTGCAAGCAGCCCACTGCAACTCTGCTCTCTGAGGCCTGTTTATAGCTTGAAAATTAGGACTGTGCTCCCTTCTAGCCTCTCTTCTCTTTTGAGAAGCCACTTTCCAGCAGCTTGATTTAGATTAAGGTGCGTTTAGATCACCAAGGGCCTTTCCCTGAAGAAACTACCAAGGAAAAGCTTCTTGAGCAAGTCCTGCCTGAAACGGAAGCTGGAAGCAAGCGTACATTTTCAGTTAGCGGGTATAATTTTAACTCGCTAAGCTTCCAGCGACCTCAACCCTGTGCCCTGTCCCTGGGAAGCGCAAAAGACAACTCCTCCCAACTTTTGAACCCCATCATGGCTGCTCTTCAACAGCCCTCACACTTGAAGCCCCAGGCCAGCGCTGCTTTCAGTCCACGACAACAAACAGCATCTTCGGGTCTAGAAAGCTTCACATTTTCTTGGGTTTTTTTTGGCGTTTTTATTTGCATAGAACACTTGGGCCTGATGGAAGGATTCACACAGCTCCCTTGACATTACAGAAATGAAGTATTTTTGTTTGTTTTCTTTACCCCCGCCTTTGAAAACAGGCTCATAAGATGTGGTTGCACTTAGTCCATAATAATAAGATATTATGCTGCCAGCCACTGCAAGTCATATATTAAGGAACCTGATCTGAGGAGCAACTTGTAAATAACCATCTGATGCACACAGCATAGCTCAAGTATCCACCCTGCACGCAGTGGCCAAGAAACAAGGCTGGTTTATACACATCCTCCAGGCGCTTATCTACGCGGTATGATAGATGCTCAGGAAATGACACTTTTCAGGATTCTAAACAAGGAACAGACACACAAGATAATTTGGTCAGCTGAGAAAAATACCCGCAAATCGAGTAAGTCCATGCCTGCTCATAACCAACCTGCCAGGAAAAAAAAAAATCACCTTTCTCTAGAGATGCGCAGGGATTGCGGGGAGGGAGGGCACAAACCCTCCTCGGGTTAGCAAAAAGGCTGTCAGGCTTATTAGCAAAAGGGTGCTCGGGCACTCTACTGAGGTGGCCGCCGCCCTCCCTCCCCATCCCCTGGGACCGGAACCCGGCCCCGCTGCGCCCAGACAACGGCCCGGCGGTCTCCCCCCGCGGAGGAGGGACGCCCCAATGGGGATTTTAACTCGGGGAAGGTGGAGAGCC